TAAAAAAATAAAAAAAAAAAAAATAAAAAAAAAAATTTAATCTTAATCTCAAAACCTAATCGATTCATTCTAAAAAAAATTTCTTCCTTCATATTTTCCATTTATATTGATAATGAATTCATCATTATTGATAACAAAAATACACCAATAAATTTTCATTAATATCTTATCATTCTCATTTTAATCATTTCATTATCGTTTTTGTTTCTTATAAATACTACTGTGAAAGCTTTTCCTTCAGATGATTCCTTTTCTTTAATGATATACTTTATTTGGTTTTTATTTCTGATAAACAAAAATTTGTACCTTCAAATTTTGTAAATCTTATAAAAGAAAGAAAATGACGTTATAATTAGTGAGGATATCGAATTGCATCCATAAAATTTTTAGTAGTTTTTTTGCTTACGTCACTAAGTTGAGGAGTGCACTGTTTCTGTGCTTATATAAATCCTGGCAAAGCATAAACATCCTTATATAGGCCTTAAAATCTGAACAGATTCTACTAGATTGGATAGCAACTCACTGGGACATCGACATTTATTCTACGTATACTGTTTCCGTTCCTATTGTGAATAGATACACTAAAAAATATTCGCAGAATTTACATATACCTGACTCAGTAGTTGAAATACACAATTCTTCCTAGAGAGAAGACTTTTCTGGAAATATTTTTAAAGTCACAAGTAATAGGCCAGTTTGTTCAGGATTTTGAAATGATCATCTGGTTACGTTATATGATCTTCCTTGGAACTTACCATTAATAATCATGATCGCCATTTTAACCGATCCAGATTTTGTGTGTTGTAATACCAATGGGAATCATCGGATAACCGGTCTGATATTATTTTACACTAGACCGACTTACTAGACTTTCACAACATATTTTTTTCTCTCTTGGATAATGTTTGAAACAGAGAAATTCTGAGATATAGTTTAGGAAAATGGAATAAGTCAGTAGAGAAACCTTTTGCCGTTATCAGGGCACTGTAAGCGGAATACTATCGAGCACAAAGCTTTGAGTGAGACTCATAATATTAGAGATTAAACAATTTTTTTAATGCAAGGCTGGGCAATTAATTTTCCCAGGAGGCCACATGAGAAATTGGAATGGTTTTTGAGAGCCGGATAAATATACTTAAATTGGTTCTACCCAATACCGTACTCGTATAATCTACTATCCCTTCATAAAAAACAGTAAATGAAGCATTGTAATGGATTCATTGGAAATGTGAAGAGCCTAATAACATCATTATTTAATGTTGAGATGATGAAGTTGTGATGAAAGACCAACGGATTTTAACATTGGAAGGTTTTGGTCTAAGGCAAAGGAAGACCAACGGGGGCGGAAGGCTTCTCTTGCGGCTCCGTGTAAAAAAAACTTGATGAAGGACCACATCCGGCCCGAGGACCACCAGATGCCCAGGTCAATTTTAATGTAGCCGGTGGTCAAAGCACGCATGTGATATATGCTACATGAAAGAGACTGATTCAAATATTATTTGTTTCTAACCTTTTTTACTGTTAGTATTTTGTTTTAATTTGTGTAGCTGATGTGCAACTCATCCATATCCGTTCTTCATACAAATTGTTTATCAGTTAAGATTTGAATTTTGTTAATTCCAATAGATTACTCTGCTAAACTCTTTAAAAGGGATATTCAAAACTGCTAAGGAACAGCTTTGCAATTTCAAACATCTTCTACGACGTACTTACTCCATTATCATATCACTCATCAGTCAATTATCACATCGCTATATCACTCATGGATTATTATATCGCTTATCGTATCACTTATCATATCACTCATGGATTCATAGTTTTTGCATGTCATAGCAGGTTATTAGAAAAAGCAAAAGCAACAGTTCATTGTTCTGGATCTCACTAATAGTTGATTTTTGCATTGAACAAGATTTAATTAATTACTCTCGTCATTCGTGGCGATGATTTTTGATTTCCCCAAATCTAACTGCGAATGGTGATAACAACGATTAGTTTATCACTTTTAATTTTTTGTTTAAATATAGAAATTCGAACAGGGTCGTTATTATGATGCAAACATTATATATTGTGTCCCCTTTCTTAACCTTGTAGTTTTTTGTTTCTTTAGCGAACTTCGTTGTGACCCTAAGCTATTTCTTAGTAGTAGAATCCACTGAATTCCTTGTTCGTTAGAAGAGCATAAAAAATAAAAGATTTTGGAAATTCTGGATGGAGCCACACAAACTATTCCATCTATGTGCATTTGTTTTTGTGACCTTATGATAATGAAAATTTTTTGTCGCATTATTGATAGAGACAGTAAACGGTACATGAGATGTAGATGATAGATTATGGACCCAATTTTGTGCCAAAGAATTGTAAAATTGCATAATATATATATTTGTATTCGATATTAAGATAAGTACATTAATTTGTTTCATAGAATGGAAAAGAGACATAAAGAGAAGATCGTCGTGAAAAAATTGACAACTTTGTGTCCTTTATTTATTTTATATTCTTTTCATTTAAAGTTATTTAAGATATATGAACGTTCGATATTCCTTTCATTCACAAATAATTTAACGTTTTTAGCTAACATCACTTAATAATATTTTTATCTTAATTTCTGCAATGATAAAGGGATGAATATTATTTTCCGATCATTTCAGCATATAAAGGAAAATTTGAAAAAGTGTTATGAAACTTTTTGCGCAAAACTGCATTTGTATATCTTATTGTATTTTACGGATGAAAAGGATTATGAGATCAGGATAGTAGTATCTAATAATCAGGAAGATTGTTTTCTAGGTTAAACTTATTGGGCGATAAAAAGAAAAATTCAATAAATGTTTTACAATAGTGCATTGTTGAACTCCTGAATTGTAATCTTTTTTATTTTTTTTGATTAAATGATTGAAGCCTCCGTCTATGATGTAAAGAAAATATACTGCAGATAGGAGGATGTACAGAGGAAGGAAGGAACAATTATCAAAGACGGATGGATTGCTTCCTTCTCAGTTACTCTCAAATTATAAAAATTCAAAAATCTTATTGGATCTGTTTGTCCTTCAAAGGAATTAATTAATCCATTCAAGTTTCAAACTTTAACAGAAAAACAGAAGAAAACTCATAGAATTTCGAACTTATTACCAAAAATGAATGCAAAAATTTTGATCTTGAAATTAATGATTTTTGCAGATAAATTCTTCGATCATTTTTCTTACTGAATACATAAATGATCTATTTGTACAATCTATCCTTTTCTCCTAAACAGAAACTTTGGTTCTCTTTATATTCAAAATTGGCTAACGCCAATAGAACTGTCTTTTCATTTGGTCCACCACTGCTCACAAAAAAAAAAAAAAGAAAAAAAAAAACAGGAGGCAATTGTTTATTTAAAATTAACGAGAGAATGTTAAACCATCGTATTTATTCTAGTTATTGGTAAGCTCCCAATGAAAGTGCTTACTACTTTACAGTCAACGATCTATTCCGTTTAAGGGCTCTGAAGCAAATGTTCGTCTTAGCTCGACATTACTC